TACCCAGCCGCAGGTAGGTAACCAGTGTCCCTCGCGGCGAACGTCTGAACGAGTAAGTTGAATACCGCGCGCAGAAAGGACGCTCTTTTTTTCGATCCGAGGATCGAGATTCTCAGTCCCTGCTTCTTTTTAAAAGACGTTTCAACCTTATCGAGAGGGAGAAAGAGAGAGTCGAGACGCAGCACGGAACGTTGCGCGCTTTGAATAGACGACCGTCTCGCGAGGATCTCGAGTTTCAATAGCCGTGCCATGTCCGATTTCGTGACACCCGAAAGACGTGGAAGAAGAATACGAGACCGGGAGCTGCCTGACGCATAAAAGGAACGATGATTTTCAGCCGAGGACGTTTAGGAACTGCGCTGCACGAAGGCTGGGAAATCCTGCATCTGTCGCCTCGGAAACCACTAGGAAAATCTGTCCTTTTTCTCTGCGACCTTCGAGATACGAGCGCGAGACGTACGAGGACGCCGATCGACACGCTCCAACGGTTGATATCGACTAATAATATGCTGTCGCTTATTTCGACGCTCGTCGCTCGATCGGACGGTCCGCGGAATGCAAAGCTCGCAGTTGATCCGCTCGTAATTTACGAGCGAATGTTTTTCTCCTTTGGCTGGTCTCGTGGATTAACCGGGTTCCGGGAGCGTCCAAGTCCAAACGAGAAAGAAGAACGCGCGGCGCTGCGTCGATCGAGATGCCCGTCAAAGAAAAATCGATACGTTCGCGATTGAGAAAGGTCATGCGCGCGCGCGCGTGCCTTTCGATTCGATGGTTCGTCGGCGCGGTTCCGAATCGATCGCCGCTCATCGTTGCAATTCGAACGCGGTTGCTGTTGTTGCGACAGCGTTGGCGGCAACGGCGAAATCGGTGAATGCCGGGGCCAGGATAAAGGGAAAAAGATAGATGAGAGAGGGGGTAGGGGAAGGGTGCCGCAGGGTCAGGAAAGAAGGAAGGTGGAGCTGCGCGGCGGCCGAAGGGAAACGGCGGGAAACGGGAGAGGATCGGAGGGCGTTCACGATAATCCAGTCGATCCTCTTTCGAATTCTCCGTTACGAATAATAAACTCGCCGACAAAGTGGCCGACTATCCCGGCAGTCGACCGAGGATCGAGCATAGACGCCTTCCACGAACCGCTTTTTTCCGTTTCGACCTTCCACGCCGTAAAAGGAGAACCGAGCTCTCGAGGAAGGACGACCGCGCGCGAGGTTTACGCGCCTCTACGTCGCTTACCCGCATAGGCCGCACTGGCTTTTATGCTTTTTCGATAAAGATAAAAGATAGAACCATCTTTTCCCCATCTAGCCGATCTAACCAAGCTTCCCGATTTCGATTTTATTACGATAACGTGAAACGAGGCCGATCGCGATACAAACCTATGCAATTTTCAACTTATACGATACTTTGGCATCACGGCATTGCTGTTAACAATGGCGTTGCATTGTCCCGATCTCGACTACTTCGTTTCTCGTTCGTCCTATCGATACGAACCATCGATCGATACTCTCGCCCTTCGAGACTCTCGGTCGGTTTTCCGGTCGAACGAACATCGCCGCTTTACGCTAAACCTTCGCTAAAAGTCATCAGGTTTTCGAAACGTAAACGCGTTTATACCAGAAGACAATTTTGGATTTGACCACTCGGGCGAGAAAATACTAATCGTCGTCGTGCGGGTTAACCAAGTGCACGTGCACGATGAGCGACGAGGAGATTTCGACCTCGCCGAAGAAATAGACTCTCGTTTCGTGAACAGCCGTGTATACACATGCTGCGCGACATCCCTGCTCTCTCGCGTCCGGTTCTCTTTGAAAGAGATAACTAGGATAAGTGTATCAACTCCGCCGCCGTCTCTTTCTAATCTCCTTACCGTTTCCTATCTTTTTTCCCGTACTCTATTTTTACTTCGGCAGAATTTCGATTCTAGACGATTCGCTACACGACGTTTTCGCAATCCGATTTGTCGCTCTATGAACATGTAGAATGTAGACCGATCGAGCGCGTAGAAACGCGCTACCTATGCTGCTTCTTTTTGCAGCAACGACGAGTGAAAAATGGCTACTCACGAATCTCCGACGCATGGGTATTTCCGCTTACCGTTCGCTTCGAATCTCGTGTCGCGTTCGAGTTCGAGCACGCTTGGCTAGCTCGTGCGAAAAGACTTTTCGTCGTCCATGTGTCGTCTCGTTTCGATCCCTTACAATCGACTACGTGCAATTTCGTTCGATTACGACGACTCTTAACCTAGAAGTTGTAGGGGAGAAAAAACGATATAACAAAAGCAACGTTCGCTACGAGTAATTTTTCGAAAAAGAATCACGAATGTCTTCCGTTCGTGGAAACCGAAAGCGTCTAATCTTGGACTGGACGCGACGATGATGAATCGAGCGTACGGACCAAGGGCGATGCGAAATCGCATAAGCCTGCTCGTAGCTTATACGCACTATGTATATATATATATACATATACGGACCGACCAATCAAATGTGACCGAAAGAGACCTGTCTATGTTCTATATATGTATTTATTAATATCGATGTATATTAACGAAAGGCGATTACTTTTTCGCGTTTCAGGATTATGCTCCGTCGTAGTTTATTTAATTGGTCGATTCGATTGAAAAATAGGGAACCATAACGGAAGAACGAAGGGTTCTGAGTACTCGCGGGTAACGCAATTAGAGCAGAACCGGTCGCTGCTACGAACAACTTCTAGGGGAGAAAAGAACGTTTCTGTGTGTATTGTAGCGTCTGCTTTCTGTTTGGCGTCTCCTTTCGTTCGACTGCTGCTGTTCGAGGATAGCCAAAACTTACGATGTTTACGTAAACTTTACGAGAAGGAAAAACGAAACACCGATCTCTGCGTTCGTGTTGTCAGACACACCCATGAACGATGGAAGGAAGTTTGCGTAGTTTATGGTTTTTCGCGATTAAGCTTACCGAATGAAAGCTTACTGTCTGAACGGTCAACGGTAAAAGCTAACGCACGAAATGAACGCGTTTTCCGCGAACGATTGAAACTCGAAACACTAAGCTCGCATGTAGCGTCATCTGGCGCAGAAACAGTAAACTACGTGCAAAGTTTGTCCGACGCTTTATCGATGTTCGCTACAGCGAGATGCAAAAAGTCACGCATAAAAATTATATGTATGTATGTATTTCAGACGATAATTTGTTTCAGGATTATTAAAGAGAAAGAGAAAAAGCCAATGATGTGTTGATTTACATGTTTTCGGTGACTGGACCGTAGATATTTACCGCAATGGTTGTGTTTGCAGGTAATGCGATGCGCGAGATCGAAGCCCGCGAACCGAACATAAAGAGAAACGAATGTGCTGCTTGCGTGTTGTTCGGGCCAACGAACAACGATGGCCTCGGTTTCAGGGTCGTTTCGACTATTATTCGCTTGCATCGACTGACTTACCTCGCCTTCTTGTTCATTCGCATCATTCCCCCACCTCCTCTTTCGCCAGATCCTGACTTGCACTGTCTCCCAACTAGCCATACATCCTTTCGCCTAGCCTCGACGCTCTTGCTCTCAACGCTTGACTCGTCTTATTTCATCTTGTCACGTTATTACCATCTTTTGTCTCGCATCGTTTACCCTTTCTTTACCTCGTTTCGTCTTATCTCGTATGGTTCTCGATCCTCTTTCGATTATCGCAGACACGTCTCGTCAAATTTTCTTCCCTTTAAGATACGTCCAAACGAAAGTGCGTAACGCAACTTCTACTCGATTTTATAAAACGTACGAGTTCCTTATTGCGTTTTATATTCGAGTAGATTGTAGCGAGCCGATCGAAAAACAAATAGCGCTATTTTGAATCTTTAAGCGCGGCGACGCGTTCATCTTGCGAATACGTGCTTCGATACGAGGGCGCTACCTTCCAGACTTGTTACGATCGATGCTAGTGACATCTGCGAGAAATTGAGAGAGAATCGATTGGTTGCATTGAAAACTAGACCAATCGAAAAGTAACACATGTTCGAGATGTCGAACGAAGCAATGCGTTATTTTGTCCCTGGTGCGGATCAAGGAGTAAAACGTGTTGGGAAAAATTTGAGAGTATGTTGCGACTCGCTGTCGATCGAAAGGGATATTATTTGGTCGAGCATTTGGTAAAAACACGATGTTGCTGTCGCGTGAAAAGTTTTGTTACGCGTTCTACGACGAGAAGCTTGGATACGTAAGAGATAGAAGAACCGAAAAGCAGAATGCAAATGTCGCTATGAGCATGACGGCGAATCGCCTAGTCGTGCTTTTCGTTTTCGTGTCAGGAATTGCTGTTGCTGTCATCGGCACCTTACTGTCTCAATACATTCGTGGTTTCCTGAAATATTTACCGGGTAAGTTTATCCCAAGTTTCTGTGTAACTCGTACGATTTGTGCCAGCTAGATAGACCCTTTCGTGGACTGTCCAACTTCGGTACTTTGATAGTTATGGTAGTTATTCTTTTAGATCACGACTATCGTCATGTATTTATACCGCTGCCGACGGAAGGTGAGTTAAACGTGTACGACGAAGGTACCTTGGATTTAGCATTGCCAAGGACTGAGCTGCGTCATCAATTGGAAATTGAGAATAGCGCGACATCCACCGCGGAAGCTTTAACCTCGCTGTATCTGGCATTGGAGATGAAATTGTCGGGCAAACAAAAGAAAGCGATCAAATTGTTTCAGCATGCCGTGGCTTTAGCACCCCGCCACCCAGATATCTTGAATCATTACGGCGAGTTTTTGGAGCACACACAGAACGACGTTATCAAAGCAAACGAATATTATGTGCGTGCATTGAGTTTTCAACCGAACCACGAAGGTGCACTGATAAACAGTCAAAGAACGGCTCGAGTAGTCGAAGAGTTGGATCGAAGAATGCTGCGACGCATAGACGAAAAAAGAAACACACTGTCCACGATTCCTGACAACAATGCCGCCTTGATACGAGCAAAGAAGGAGGCTTATTTTCAACATATATATCATACAGTTGGCATCGAGGGGAACACAATGAATTTAGCTCAGACCCGGGCGATCGTTGAAACGCGTACCGCGGTTGCTGGTAAAAGCATCGATGAGCACAACGAGATTCTCGGCTTGGACGCTGCAATGAAATACATCAACGCGACCCTGGTCAATAGGATGGGATCGATTTCCATTAAGGATATATTAGAAATTCATATGCGTGTTTTAGGACACGTGGATCCCGTTCGAGGTGGTCAATTTCGACGTACTCAAGTGTACGTTGGTGGTCATGTACCTCCTGGTCCAGGAGATATCCATTATCTTATGGAAGAATTCGCGTTATGGTTAAACAGCGAAAGAGCTATTCGAATGCATCCAGTCAGGTATATAACTACTTATTTTCTCACCCATTTCCATCCTACACCATACCATCTGACCGAATATATCGCAAATAATCGTCGTTTACTTTCTTCTTTTCTAGATACGCCGCTCTAGCGCATTACAAGTTGGTACATATACATCCGTTTTCTGATGGTAATGGTAGAACGTCTCGCTTGCTTATGAACATGATTCTTATGCAAGCTGGTTATCCTCCAGTTATTATCCACAAGCAGCATCGACACACGTATTACGAGAATCTCCAAATAGCGAATACCGGCGATGTCCGACCGTTTGTACGATTTATAGCAGAATGCACGGAACAAACGTTGGACCTGTTCTTGTGGGCAACCAGCGAATTCTCTAGGCAGGTTCCCGCGCTTAGTCAAGATACCTTGTTCACCGAACGACGCGATACCATCGTTTTGGAGGATGACATGGCGACGGATAGCGTTACCAATGCCTTTGACACTGGCTAATAGTCTCGGTCGGCTTTTCCAATGTACGCTACACGTTTCCAAGTATCGTTAAACCAACGTTCGTTAAACCAAAGATCTGGATTCGCTGAACTATTCGTTTACCTCTGTTCCGTCTGCAACAACGCTCTTTGTATTTAAATTGGAAACTCGGTTTTGCGAGCCTCCAACCTATTCTCCTTGGAATTGCGAATGTTTGTCCTCCTTTTGCCTTTTGCTCCCATCTAACGAATTGAACATTCAGCCCGTTTCTACAGTTTTGTTACCTATGTCATTAAGTGTACATGGCCGCGCACACACTTTCCCTTTCGTTAACTAGATCTTTTCTTGATTTGTTTTCCTCAACGATCCGTCGACGTACATGCGTTCGCGATTACCGACGCATTTTCCCCCATACGACCCGGTATGCTTCCATTTATAATTTCTCTTGCTTTTTATCGTATGCGCCAAGACAGTCGAAAAACGGAAAATCGTGTGAAACCCAATCAAAGACTGTGATCTAATTTAGGAATATACGTAAGTTAATATTTAATTAGGCGAATTTTAAACATCGATATGGAATGTATGTTGAAAACGTCGCGTATAAATTTAAGGTCGGATGCGTAATCGCTACTCGCTGGTCGAGCTACTTGCGATACCACGTAAATACGTACGCGACTTTTAATAAATCCATTATTTTCTAAATCTTTACGTTGGTATATTCTTTTTACCATCATCTACGCAAAAACAATTAATGTAGTCAGTACGATAAACGAACTTGCCATTTGATCGGCTAGCTTTAAGTCGATTATAAATATACATATATATATATATAGTTTATTTATCAAACAACTGGGTTGGGTATATCGTTTGATACGCATATGACAAAGAAAGTGAAAGATTAAGACAAATAGCGTATCGTTTGTATCATTGTCTCTGTTCAATCCTTTGTTTAGTTTCGTCGGCAGATTTTTCTCCCTTTTTTTTTATAAAAAGTAGAGTATCGCCGTTGTAGCCTGATACGTTTAATGCCGATCGTAACGATGTTGCTGCCACTATCGTATCAAAGTATCCAATCCACCGATTCGAACGTTTTCTTTCTTATCTCGCTATTCGATTCTATAGTGCGATTAATAATAAGGCAAAGAAGTATTGAACGCTCGATTGCTACGAAACTTTAATTTTTGTACGTCTAATAAAACATTATTGACGCTTTGTTGGCGAAAGAAACGATACAGAGATAATTCCCATCGTTTTCAAGCGTGTTCGATCCAAATATGTATCACGAGTGAACAAAATCTTTACGCTAAACGTGCAAATCTCTCCTTTTTTTTTTTTTTAATGCGATATAACGATGTAGTTTTATCTATATAAATACATTTCTATAAAAATCATATTTAGCCAACAACGTAAGTTGACGACCTATCGATTTCACACACATTCGTTCTTCCCTCTATCTTCTCGCATTCGCTCATTCGCTCAATAGCATCGTACATACACGCATACACTCGCTCGTGCACATGCACATTCGTTCTCTCTTCGTTCCTGCTTGCCTGCTATGTCGTACTCGGTCCCACTTTCGATTAAATCCATAAAAATCGGATCGATCGCAAAACGCGCTGGACATCGTCGTTTTGGCAAGAAAAGACGCGCGCATGCATTCGTAAGTTCGCGAAGCGTGTCTGTGAAAATTCGCTTCACCGTAAAATCTGAAAACGGTAGGAACGAAACCAAACGACGGCAAGTAAGATAGAAATTGTTACATGGATTTTAAGATTCTCAAGTTAAAAAAAAGAAAAAATAAATAAAAACAGGCAAAATTGTAAAAAAAAAAAAGAGTACTCAAAAGCGAACAACGAAATGGTATACTTTTTGAAATCGCGTCAACTTGACATGCAGAAATTTAGTAATTTGCTGAGACTATGGTATACACAGGAATTAACGTTGTACGAAACTTGGTACTTACATTATAAACTTATTTCGCGAAACGCGTATACTAATCGCAAGGGTGGTGAAGGGTGGTCGCGATCGCTTACCATAGACGAGTTAACTTACAATTTCTGTCGAAACGTGGGATTCTTTAAATAAACTGAGATTTTTTTGATTAAGACAGGGACGATTACGATTAAACTAGATCTAGCAAAGTCAATGTTGAAAATACGCGTTTAACGAACCACGGCCGTACAAATACACGAGAGATTAGACGAATACGCGTATGCGGTATAAGAACTCTTCTTTTTTTATTTATTCCAACTTTTCGACGGAAAGAGAAAGTACTCTTTTTGACAGATGTACATTTATATATTTCTTCTAAAATTCGATCCATCTGAAATCGGGCAATTCAAGTTTGGCAATATAAATTAGGCGAGAAAAACCGAGAATCTTCGTCTAAAGTATCTCGATGAGAAACGAATCGAAAAGTTTGTTAGAAGGAAGAGAAGGATATGCTGTTCTTAAAGGATATCTTGTTTAGCGTGTTTCTCTTCTTTTAGACGCATGGAGGTAACACAAAACAGCTCATCTTGGATAATCGTAGACGCGCGTGCATTGATTCATTAGGTTTTCGGTTCGTACGTACGTACATACGATTGTCGATTTGATCGCACCCAGTGATCTGCGTATATGCGGATTTATCGTCCGACGAATGCAGCAGCATCGTTCAAAACGAACGCTAAGGAGACGTTAGTTACGAGTAAAATAAAGCGCGCGCGCGGGGCACGATCGATTCTGTACGTACGACGATACGTGCTATGATTTAGGTGCGTGCTGCATCATGAACAATTAGAAGAAAAAGCTAGCGATCGGAAAAGAGGAGAGAAGCAGAGGGAGAAAGACGGGCAAAAAGAGGAGAGGAAATACGGTAAACGATTTTGCGAAAGAATATGGACGGACGATGATCGTCTGTCGGCCACAGTTCATTTTGTTACTCGATATTTTCATTGTCGGTTCATTGTCGAGCATGTGAAACGTGAGTATATCGTGCTTTCGAATCATCGATGATCGGTCGCAAACCGAAGAGGAGAGGAAAAGGAACTTCGGTATCGTTAAACGGGTTCGTTTGCAGTTAAAGGAACGCGAATGGAAAGCTGATACGACGAGTCATGGTAACAGCGATGCTGAGAAAACAAATGGTATTCGAACGCTCAGATGGTTTACTGGTATTCTCTTTCCTTTGATTATGCCATCCTCACTCACTGCCATCCACCGCCATCGCCATCACCTTATCGTTATCGTAATCGTAAGATGCTTCTTCGTGCCCTCGTCTTTCCGTCTTTCTCTCTCGCTCATCCACTCGCTCGCTTACTCATTCGTTCCTTCATTCACTCGCGTTTCTCTCTTCCCCTCTCTCTCTCTTCACCCTCTCTCTCTCTCTCTTTGTGACGCGCGCGCGTAAACTAATCCACGTTAGTTATATCGTGAGTTACGAGTTCGCGTCATCTTCTGGCTGATCTGTTCTTCTTGCAACAATTGTCCACGAAACTGACTGACTTGATCGATTGCGGCGTTCAAGATATCACGCTGCTGCACCAATAGCTGTTCCCACTTTTGGGCATATTCTGCAACAAACAACACGTTTTCAGTGGTCGATTTCAGTGATTTGCCCTTTTGCAAAATAGCAAACGGAAAAGGATCTGGTGAGTTTGCGAATGAACGTAAGCACGACTCGGTATGAATTTGCCGCAGCGGCGGGGTTTACGTTTACGTTTTCATGCGTTTCGAAACGATCGACCCAAACATAACGATCGTCTGGAAATTTTCAGGCAAATTGGGCCACGCTACGAATCGAACTCGATCGATTACGTTGGCGTGTATTCAAAGCGTTCCGGTTACTCGGAAAATGCAACAATTCACGTACAGATTTCGTTATGTATCTTATGGAGCGAGGCGTGCCGCGTATTATTAGTCCATTTGTATCACAGGCCATAATAGTAGTAGTTAATGCGAAGAAAACAATGCCGTTATATCAAGATTCCATAAAACTAATATTTATTAACAGCTCAATGTGTATTGTACATATAGAGGAATTTTCGCGTTAGAATCAATTGCTCGGTTACTATCGCGATATTTTTAAAGATGCACGGAGATTCGTTAATCGGAGAAGAAAGGGCCAGATAACAGAAGGAAGAATTAGACAGGATAGAGTAGAATCGACGCGTAAATCGATATCGCGGCTTACCAGTTCGATGAACGGAAGAAAAAAATACACGTTGCTCTGTATCCGATTGTAATTACTGGCGCAGTAGTTTCTCAATCCAGTGCGTTCCGTTCAGTTCCGTGCTCGGCTTAGTGTCGTTTACGCTTAGGTACTACTGCCGATACGTATTTATATTATACATATATATTGCGATAGATTTATCGAAAATCGCGGCTTAAAAGCAAGCATTACTCTTATCGGAGACGTCGGCGATGTAGATGTAAATGTCGATGCGGTAATGATGCCTTCGCGAATCGTGACCCCTGAACGCGTAATTAGTACATATGTAGATCTCTGGTGCGGTATTAAAGTAAGCAACTTTTGACAGGCGACTTTATATATGATTTTGAATCGAATAATTTCGTACCGTCGGAAAACTGTTTTCTCTCTATCAGACGTCTACGTAAATAGAACCTCCTCAGGTTGGGCGACTCAAACTTTGTTCTTTTCCGTCTCAAATCTGCAAGGGTTTGTGACGTTACGTTCAAACGTGTCATTGTTGTTGCTGTTGTTGTTGTTGTTGTTGTTGCAGCTGCTGTTCGAGCCTTTGTATTCTTTTACAGATAGCTAAAAAACAATGATTTTTGGGCGCCGAACGCGCTCAATGACAACGCGTATGCCTCGTTTCTTGTTCCTATATATACATATTACGTGTATACATTTTTCCTTAGATTTTACGAGATTCGCTTCCGTATCGATTTCATTCTCGACCGAACAAAATTTCGCTGACTCGGCTTGTAAAAACAAACGTACTCGTCGCCAGCGGTTTGTCTAGTATCCGTGAATGAAATATCGGTTCAACTGATCGATTGAATGATATTGCAAACCGGTCTCTCGCTCCTTCGATTGTAACGTTAAAAGCTTCGCGTTAAAGCATAAAAGTAACGATATCGTCGATAGGATAGTATAAAATGAAAAATAAGGAAAAAAGCGGAAGAAGAAACATCGTTGGTCCCTTATAACGGATAAAGGTGCGCGGAAACAAAATACTTATGGCTCCTCCGTTCTTTTCACGTAAATGAAAAAGATCATGTACAGGCTGGGTAAGAAGATAAAGAGGATAACATTTTTAAAAAACGACAAAAGAAAATTAAAAAATTTGCAGGTGGATCGATCGTCGATCGGCGTACGAGATTTACGAACGTAGACGGTGGAGAGCGTGATTTCGTAGCGATCGATGATCGTCGATCGACTGTCGTCATCGTCGACGCGGTAGGAGGATTCGGAAGAGCGTCGTGTTTCACCGAGGGTGGGTCGGTTCTCTTCTTTGTGGTCGTTTCGTTGACTTCGTTTCGACGAATTTGCGTTTAGATCGTCTTGTTCGATAGACTCGTCTCGTTGATAACGCTGATCTTCCTGCCCGTGTTCGCGAGTCAGCCAATTCCGCCGTGACGTATTAAGTGGCATTGTATCGCGTTTGGAAAGATTCGCGAACGATCGACGATCGGGCCAACGTGTCGCGTCCTCCTTTCTGTCGCCGCTTTCATCGTCCAAGTTGAATTTATCACCGTCAAACAGTTTCGTCTTCTTTGCTGTCTTTTCATCGTCGAAGGCATCCAAGTTGTAATTATAATTAGAGTCGGCCACGACGTTCATCTCGCCGAAACGACGCCTCTTGGCATCGCTCGTTTTCTCACCGAGAGGCGAAGAATATTTTTTGACGCCGTCTCGATTGAAAGTGCCAGACCAATGATATTTTTGTACGCTCTTTTTCCCACCGGTAGACCGTTTGTATCGTTGCGCGCGGTTCACTGTCCGAGCCCAGTTGTTGCCGTATGCAACGGAATACGCGTGCAAACTGTTCTTCTTCGAAACATTTTCGATGCACGATACACGTGGATCGATACCGGCCGTGTTCGCCGCGACGCGCGTCGTTCGAGTAACGTTCAACGATTCGTAGTCGCTATCGCACGAACTCGTGTCATTTTGACACTCGACCTCGTCCTTCCAAGGAGATTTTAACGAATTCTTTGTCGTTGTATCGACGAGTTTATTTAGGTTGGACCACGCGTCACCGCCGGTAGAGTCGCGGTTATCGTTGTCTACTGGCTCAGCCACCATCATCGTTGTCGTTGACGTTGTCGTCGTCGTCGTCGTTGTCCTCTCGTCCTCTAAGTTCGGTTCTAACGGGCAGCTTGCCTTTGCCTTATCTTTACCGCGTGAATCTGTCGCAAAATTCCACATACACAATAACGCTTG